CAAATCAAAATTTTTACATACTTACATATCTGTAATATTGATACATTCAGACAAGACTTACCAATTTTGCTAAGGATAATTACCCTGAGAAAATACTGTCTGTCGTACAGCAAACATTAAATCTTTATTGCTTATTTACACATTGTGGAATTTAATAGATACATACTTCAATTTCGGTTTATAGTATGTATTTAATTATGCATACCTCATAATGTGATATTATTTCCATTATTGCAGTAAATCTAGCCAAAATTTTTGTCACACAATTTTTTTTTATCAAACAGAGATGTTTGATAAAAAACGATTTTCTTTCATGTTAACTTTTTACTTTGTAGGAACTACCTTCTTATGTTTAAGAATTGATTACCAGAATGAAAGATTCAAAACGCACATCTCCTTTTCCACCTAACTTGTAAAGTTTTGCATGTATGTTACACTTCCACTCTCCAGCGGCATATAATGCCGTAAGAAACTCATTTTTGAAATGCCTCCCAACTGTTCAAACAAAGAACAGGTGGTTAAAAACAGATGATTTATCGCTCGGAATATCGTATGAAATTAAAAACAAAATTAGTGATATGACTGAGAAAGAATATGAGAAAGGTCGGACATTAGTTTTCAATTTGACCTTCGATGAGATGAGTATCAAGCAAAATAAAGAGTGGAATACAATCACGCATTCATCGATAGGACTGGTAGATCATGGTGGTCAGCTTTCGGAGCTACATTCAAATAAAAAAGAACAGACAGCTTCTAAAGCATTTGTTTTTATTTTGGTGAGCATTAATAGGGGTTTCAAAGCCGCAGTTGCGCACTACCTCATTGATTCCCTTACTGGTATTGAAAAGGCTATTCTTTAAAAAAATTTGCTAACATTGCTAGGCGAAAAAAAAACTAAGGTCATGAGTATCACGTTTGATGGTGATCCGGCACACTGATTAAAACTCTTTAGAAACTATTTTGCTTTAAAAGGACCGTTTACATTCGATAAAAGTAATACCATTGACTGAAAATACATTATTAACTCAAATGACAACTTGTGAAACCTGTGAAAAAAAGTAAGGCAATGTTTCATGTAAAATATTGGACTGTGAGAGTTGTAGAGAGTAGATCAGTACAAACTGGCTTTAGGAGATTTGTTATTTTTCTAAAAAATGTATACGACTTGGCTTTTTATTTAATTAATAAGAAATATTTGGATTATGTATTGAGTTACAAACTAAGCCAGGACCAGAACTTTTTTTTCCCCTTATCAGAAGCATGATTGGCCCTAATAATAACCCTACTGCTACTCAATTTTTATTTGCATACAAGAAGCTCACGTATTACAAAATGTCGTGTGTAACATCAAGTTCTGCAAACTGCTCATCTTTGGATAATACTTTTTTGTTGTCAAAGACTGGGAATACTAACGATATCCAGCAATTCACTGAAGAAAAATGCTTAAATACGCATAAAAAAGTAAAAAGTGCACCTACAACTAGTCGACCTTGACCACCAATACCACAACCGATTCTGTCAGTAGATATTACAAATTATTTTCGTAATGAAAGCTGCCTTGTGGATCACGACTACAGTACATCAAAATCTTGGACGTGTAATGAGTATGCTCATGAGGTCACAGCTTACATCGCTGGATCAGTCGTGCATGTTTTCAAACAAAAAATTTACTGCCAGGAGTGCTTGCTATTAATGGTCAAGAACACTAATCTTGGCAAGAGTAAACTGACAAGTATGAGAAATTATGAAGGTTTGAATTTTGCATCGGATGATGTACATATTATTTGTAAAACAACAGATTCAGTTGTTAAACAAAATAAAAATTTATTTGCGAAGAATATTTTTACCAAAATAACGCTGGAAAAGTTAAACTCTTTGCCTAGACATATTCTCAATAATTATCACTTTCTTGAGCAAGAAGCGCTTATGGACCATAGGTTTCAAATAATTTTATTGATCATAGGAAAATACATTGATATTCAAATGGCACATGAATCAAAACTTGCAAACGATTAAAAGGAACGGGTCCATATGCAAAATAATAAAATAACTATTTTTAATGGACAGTGAAAAGAATGTGTGGTTTATGTACATGATTAGTTTCTGCGTACAAAAATTGTAGGCTATGGATAATGTTACCGGTTTTATTTATTGTTTACTGTATTCTATAGTTGTGCCTACTATACTATTTACTACTGTATATAAATCCTTGCTGTTATTTAATCATATCGTATTAATTCGTTAAATTTGCAATGATGGCATACGTAGCACGTTACTCTAGTAGTACGGTTATTATTTGTTTAAATAAAGTAGCCTGATGGTTAAAATTTAATTTGTTTTTTTATTTTGTATTCGCCCTATATTTTTTATGTAAAATTTAGCACTTGTATTGAACAGTTAACAATTTTAACAGTCAACTGGCAGAATTTATTTTAAAAATGCATTATCTGATTAAGTATTGGTTGTAATTTCAGCTTTACATGTTATTTAATTATTGGGTTTTGTACCCGTTATACCTTGGGCTTAAACTGCCTACATACACGTGTAGTTTTAAATCTTCCGCCTGTACAAAAATCAAAATAATGCCCAGAATACTATAACCAATCACAGCCTAGCAAAACAGAAAGAGAAGGAACTATCGGACATCCAATTCTCTCTCTCTGCCTATATCGCTACCACTACCTATGTAACGGTGCCCCTTGTTCACTCTATGGTTGTATCTCTATGCGTAAAAAGTTGTCTTTTTTTGGGGGGGGGGAAGAGAGTTTTTAAAATAATCAAAATTCATCAAGTACTTTTGTTAGATATATGATGTAGGGTTGGAGAAGAGTGAAAATTAAAATGAAAAATTCACTTGCGTCATATTTTGTTTCAAGATGACACTTTTGAAATCATTGGTTTACTCCAGCGCAAAACGCACATGTAAAAAAAAATTTTGAAAATTAAAAAAAAAGGTATTTGAAAGGTGTGGGAGAGGAGGGTGTAAAATTCTGACCACATAATAAAAAAATACGTGTAACTCTGCTCTTCACACATTAACTCAACACATCAATGGTCAACATATCTATCTTCTTAGTAGCGTGGAAAAATTAATAAAAAATATACAAATATAGATTCATACAATGTCTACGTATAAATGTTGTTGTGGAGGCGTGTTAGAGATATATACCTACATACATTCACACAAGGCTATAGAAAGTATGTAAAGGTATGAGAGGATGGCTGCATGGAATATTTTTTGGCTTAAAACAATGCAGAAAGTGGCCAAATATCTCCTTCTACTGTGGGAAAGGGCTGTAGGGTGGCTGTGGAGTATATTTGGTGGTATGGAGAAATTATGTGGTGTTTCTTCCTGCCCGACAAAAACAATATAACTTTTTTAAACGGGTTAAGAATTCCAGCTTGTTTTAAACTTACATAGGAGGCATTTTATGTCAACTCTCCTAACACGGTACACAAGTGCCAAACAATCTGCTTTTTACCTTACGGTTACAGCACAAAAACTAACTCATAAAATATTTAAATTCTACAATCCTGATGTATTTCGAATTTAGCTTTTTGATGCAACTATCGGTTCTTCCAAAAAATGAGTTTCTTACTTTAAAAACGTACAGAACATGTTACATTTAAAAAATGATCTGGCAACTTGTATTCGTCGTCGTATTCTCTCAAAAAAAATAATTTAAAAAAAATAACTACTTCGATGTAACAAAAGCTGCTTTTCTGATTTATACTGTAAAAAAATATTAAAAATATCGTTCTCGAGATACAGCGTAATTCGTAGTGTTTTAAGGTAAGAAACGAGTTTTTCAGAAAAATCGATAGCCGCATGGGAAAGCTGAGGAAAATGTACATCTAAATCATATTTTAAAAATATTTTAAACGTTAATTTTATTGTTGTAGTCGTGAGCTTAAGAGTAGATGTTTTGGCGCTCTTGTGCCGCGCTAAGAGAGTTCATGTGAAACGCCTCCTGTATAGGATTGGAATCAATAAGTGGGGCTATGAAAAAGCTTCCTCACGAATTTCATCTCATGCTCTTTTTACCACATTATTTGAAATGACATTTTCAAAGCTAGTGGTAAAGCTGTACGTATTCAACCTAATATTATTTAGTCTACTTCTAGCACCTAGTATGATAATTTGGTTCGCTCAAGAAACCGACAAACGTTAGTGATTAATCAAAAACATCAAGGCTGCTTTTATGATGTTCAGAAATGTTAGGATGGTTTAATAGACCAATAACCTCAACCTAAAAAAAATTTTGGAGTCTGGTACTTCATATGCGGAACTTCAAACTAGCGGGAAAAGGCAACAATTCAAACTATACTTAACTCTCGCTAGCTTAAATCTTCATATCTGAAGTGCTAAACTCTAAGCTGTGATATCTCTACTTTTGATACTGTACGGTACATCTAGCACTGAACTATGAGTTACAAATTTTGAGGTACATAATCAGGAGGATTGGTGCCTGCAGGAAAAAAAAAATTCTTAGATTTGTGAGTCAAAATTTTTTTTGTGTAGAATAACAAGACAAGAACTAGAAAGACAGCTGAAATATAGTATTAATGTGCTATTTACCAGTTACAGTTTAATCTTACACACAAGTTTGTAATTTTATATCTTAAAGACAAATCCTAGAGAGAACAGATCTCCTTATAGGTCCAAATTAGCAAGTAGTAACCTCAGTTATATTTCCATGATAAATAAAAGATCTCGCTCTCTCTACACTCAGAATGTATATATGTAGAACTAATAATAATCATAAATCCTACATTAAGTTAAACATATAATTCTACAATTTATGAAGTTTTATTGAATTAGCAAATTAACACTCTCCTTAGTTATCGAACATGGGTATCTCATTGCTTTTTAATTTTACACAGTAAACAAAAATATCAGACTTGTATTTTATCTGGTGGTTTTTGTTGTCATCAGTTTAATTTTTTTGTTTTTTCTACGATTATTGAAAAAATAATTTCAAAATATAAATAGGTATGAGCTATAATTTGTAACGATAAACCTATTGGTAAGATAAAATAAGTATGATAGACTATTAAGTCAGAGACAATTTTTGTGAAACAACAGGTTCAATCGCTGAAAAATGATATAGAAGTCACGGAGTGATATAATGAGCTATTAAACGAAAGACAGGAGTAATAATGCCATCTGCGATTTCATTTATACCTTGGTAGATGGAAATATATGTTTTGGGATCCAAAAAAACAAACAATTTTATTTAGCTACAAGAGGGTTAAATGTTTTTATTTACTTCTGAGTAAAAACTAATGAATTGTATTTACCTGAATCACAGGAAGAATGTTGATTAAATCCAAACCTTGTATTTGATGAGGCTCAATACTGTAAGGGCAATTCATTTTTGGCAGCATACTTACAATTTTTTCTGTTAGAGCTCTGAAATATGAACTTTTGTAATTATTAACGAGTAATGCAATAACTAAAAGAAAATACTTACATTTTTTTACCAATAGTAAGGTTCTCCTGAAAGAGTATATCCACATTAACGTCAAAGCAACACGATTCAATACACCACGTCATACCGCCAACAATCTGAAAATTGTAAAGTGTTTTCATACATCATCTCAATATGAAATGTTACATTAGAAATAAGAACATGTAACTTCTATTATATAAGGCAAGTGATTTTAAAAACATGTTTTTTTCATCATAATTAATATCTTCTATGTATTAGAAAGCATCTTCTGGTAAGTTTCAAACCATATTAAGAAAAATTAAGTACAGAAGCTATGCTTCAAAAAGCAGACGCTATACTAAACAGGTGTATTAGCTGCGTACTCAAGTACTGGTGCAACATATTGTAACGAGGCCGTAGCTATCTCGTAAGCATATAGCAGCAGCGCTAGCTATAGAGTTAACAGCTAGTGTGCCAGTTCATGACGAGAGTACAACTATTTCCCTTTCTTAGGTTATGCTGCTGCTCAAAATTTCTTTTAATAAAAAATAGTTTGAGCTTACAAGTTTACGAGTAAGAAATAATATTTGCGTGAAAGATTTACATGTATTTTTTGAGAGAAAAATAGCAGAAAGTTTCTTTCTAATTTTTTATTCAAAACAAAATGTTGGATTCACTTTTTTTGAAAGAATTTTTCTTTTGTAATATATTAACACATATTTATGCACGTGCCCACACTAAAACTCACAAATATTTTGACATCTGAGTGTATTTGGAATTATAACCAATTAACTGATACAGATAATACGTAACTAACACTTTTTTACAATGCTTGAAAAATCCTTATTGTTAGTAAATATTTAGTACCATACAAAGAACTTCTCAATGATTATTGTGAAAAAAGTTATGTGACCGCCTAGTGGAAACAGTGCAAAATTAGACTAAACTAGATTAATCGGTATAGATTTGTGTACAGACACATGCAAAAAAATGAGAGAAAAAAGTATATTGCATATGCAAATGTACAAGCTGTATACACATATTACTGATGTGCATGCACACTGTTGAAGCACATTTTCTGTAGACTTAGGCCTGTATTAAAAAATTAAAGGAATAATACGTGAGTTCTTCCTTATCTAGTGTTATCCAGAAACAGCATCTTAAAAAGCAAAAGTAAATTATTTCTTTCTGTCTGATTCTCTCTATATCTCGTTTATTTAATCATCACCTGGAAGTTTGTAACCTATCTGAAACTCACACATATTCAGTAAATAATTTTATAAAAATCGTGTACATTCATGTATATATACATATACACACACTATAATTAAGCTTGGCCCTCTTCTATGCGCTCTAACAGCTAACCTATTTACAGATAAATTTTACTTAAAAAAAAACTCTTTGTTACTAATCATTTAAATAGTATCTGTCTTACCATTATAAAGTATAATTTTGTCATTATGAAAAAATACAGCTCACACAGTTTTTAGTTAATGATTAGTTTTTTTCAAATGATTAAAATAGTTTTATTTAATTTATAAAATGATTCAGCCAAATTTTCATTTATTGTTGTGAGCACAATATTTTACTGCATCATTAGCACGTTATTATAGCCCCATTACCGAAAATGTCACACTTTACACAGAACAAAATTCTTTTGAATTTTGTCCTTTACCTGGCTGAGCTAACCTTAAATGTAACCTGCTGCATACCAAGCATATAAGAATAAACTATTGAATCTAGGACTTGACAGCTGGTTGTGTAAGTGATTGCATTATGATAATATTGTTTCTATCACGTAAATAAACATATTTGCTTGAGAGCAGGGTTGTATCTCTAAAAGAACGATTAAAATTTTTTACATATCAAGGCCAAAGACATCTAGTGGTGGGAATTTACTTGTTGTAGCTTCAGGCGTTTCTTAAACTATAAAAGTGTCTCTTTGAGCTTACTATGTAAATTACATCTTGGCAGTGATCTCTTTATAAATCTTACACTAATATATTTGTTATAGTGAGCATTAAATATAAAAATATACGGACCAATTTTTTTTAAAGTTTCTTAGTGACCAGATATAGTGTATTATCTAGTGTTAGTAGTGTAATTAAGAAAAATGGCTATAATTTATTAAATGATTCTTTGTTAAAAGTAAGGCCTAAAAAGTTATTATTAAAAAAATGACACGAGAGGAAACAAAAAATCACATAAAAAAAAAAAAAAAAAAAAAATAGACAGAGCATTGTATAAAAAATTTAAAATTGTAGCACTGAAACAAAGCGAAAAAAATAATACTTAATAAAAACAAATCCGTCAAGACCTTTCAAAGAAAACACAGTTTTATAAATTTTTTGTACGATTTGCGAAACATAAAATAGACGCTTCAGTAAACCTGGCACGATTGGTAACGAAGCAACCATCGATGATTATAAAAAGCATTTTTTGTGAGAATAGTTACTTTATAACCTCTGCATAATTCTTGATCACGTAGATGCATCAAGGAACCGAAAAAACGCAACAAAAAATCAAGAAATGATGTCAGCATGGCAGTAAAGTGAGGTATTTACATCTCTGTCTCATTCTCTTCGTACTTACAACGTTATATGTACACATAAGGCTACAAAGAGCAATTAGCTCTTTCGTCATCTCTCGCTCAGCTCAGCTGACCGCTCAAAAAGTCAAAATGCATTCTGCAACTTTAAATAAATAAAATGGAAAAATTAAAGTGCACCTTAGCAATTACTCTATAAATTTAAACGACACATGTTTTAAAGAAGAGAAACTAGTTAACATTATAATTTTTGCCGTCAATGAGAAATAATTGACCATGCTTCAAAATTCGTTTATACAAAAAGCGTACTATTCAAGGCAACAATTTCTCAGACACTTAGGACTTTTAAGACGACTGAGAATGCTAATAAAAGTTTCAAGGGATAGGTTTTTATTTTTTAAATTTTTGTCAGTACGACGTTAATTTATAAAACTTTTATTCTGCAAAATGATGGAAAATTATTTTACCCTTTTAACCTCTTAGCTACCTCTCTCAGCCACCAAAAAAAAGCAAAACTCCTTTTATATCTCTATAAAATTAACTCAATTTAATTTTACTTCATCCTTCCCTCGCTGTCTCTCTACTCTCCCTCAGTTTCAGTCTAAAATGTGGTTAGTCCCCTTCGCTACCTGTTGCCATGCGACATTTTGGTGATCTTTCTCACCACCCCTCAAAAAAGACAACTATCTTTATTTGTTGACATTCTCATCCACTCTTACATTTTTCGGATTCCCCTTGAGAATGACGAAATTACCTTTAGAAAATCTCCTCCCCTCGCACCCCAACAACCCGTCAACTAAGTAAAGAATTCTTTTACTTCTGAATGAAATTAATCCAATAAAATTTTGTTTAACAAATTAATAGCGTATTGGTTAAGCCCCCTTTCACCTTTTTATTAGCCACTCTTAGACTTTTGCTTTCAGTTAAGCAACTTATCACTCTCCCTTACTCCTAAGAAAGAAAGTCAAATTTCATTGATTTATATGTAATATCAACCCAACAATACTTGTGTATAACTTATGAATTAAAAATAATCAATACACTATTTATATATTGTTCTTATCAGTCGAAAAAAAAAATTTTTATAATATAATACTTTAATAATAATTCATCTCACGTCTCATTTCACGGTTTCAGTATTAAATATTCACAAACAATAATCACTTTTCTTTACATTTTAATTAAAACTCTTTACATACAACATCTTTCATTTTATAAGTATTATAACCTTCGAGTTATGTAAATACATCATTTTTAGTTTTGCATAGTAATGACACTATATAGAATTCACCGTGAGCGAATAAAGGTTTTTTTTTTTTAATACAAACCAACACTGCCAAACCTTTCTTTTTGTGGTTCATTAATTGTCATAGCAAATGCTAAAAGTAACAGATACTGATTTCTTTACGGAACCATCCGTAAGGATGATAAATTATCTGTATTTAAAATTAAAAGTTATTTTTGGTACAAAAAATTTATTTTTAAATTTTCCTTTACTTGTTGTGTTTTGCTTTAGTATCAAACTAAAATAATTTTGTAATTTGTAATCGTGTACTTCTACACAAACCGTCACGTATACTAAATTCCATATGAACATAACTATTACTCTAACTTGTCAAGGATGTCGAGGGTCAAGGATTTACTGCCTTAACCTATTTATAGTAATGTTGGTAGTGTCTGTATCATTGCTAACCCTACTATAAATTCTATCATTGCTGTAGTTGTTCTTATTGTCATTTCAACTACTACAAAATTTTTCACTCTTTTTTTTTTAATTATTTTGCTTGTCATAAACTACTTATATTTTACGATACATGGTGTTTCGAAACTATTTCGGTGATGAGAATACACTTACTACTACATTTAAGTTGCAAAAAATCCCATAACTTCGCTTACTTTCTGCGTATTTATTGTATCGTGGTAATAACAATGTTACTAATTATAATTGGTAAGTGTTTTATGACTTTTGTTGAGGATGTCGAGGGTCAAGGACGCAATGCTTTAACTTAGTATTAGTATTGTTACTAGTACTTATTACTAATCTTATTATAGACGCTATTATTATTATAGATATTTTCAATGTCATTCTTATTATGTATAAAATTGTCGAATTATTATTTCTTTTTTTTTATTTGCTCTCGGTGCCCGGCTGCCTTTTACGTGGACGATCGCGTTACACTTAAATGATTATTAGTTGAGGTGTTGATAATCCACCCTCTGTGGTGTTGTTTCTATCCCGTGTGCCTGTAATCATTCTCGATAATTTTAGTAATATCAGGGCCCCCCATTTTTCAAAACCCGAATGGTCCTGCAGCTGCTCTTAATAATATTTCCGCCGCAATCCACGCGTAATCCTTCTAGTCTGACAGCTCCCTTTTTATTTGCACTAACTCGTATTCGTATATTTGGTGATATGTGCCCCCGTGATGTTTCCTTATTTCATATGTCCTACTCTATTTCCACGGGTATATGTTTGTATTTTAAATCTTTTAAGAACCGTAGTGAAGAAAGTGAGGGGTAAGAAGGGGAAGTGGTTCAGCCAACTGTCTGTGCGTCATCTTCGTTGACGTTTTGTCCACGTTTCTCTTT